GCCTGCCTTGAGCTCGCGGTGCAAGCCCGGCCCCCGCCCCGCCCCGCCCCGCCCCCTCGCCTTCGGGGCCGCGGCATCTTGAGGGCTGCGGCTGGTGGCAGTCAGAGGGGTAGCCCCGTGCTCACGTGCATGTGACCCCCGCATTTGGCTGAGCGCCCCGCCCAGCCTCCTCGTGCCCCCTGCCCTGTCCACCCCGGTGCTGCCCAGGGCACCTTGTGTGGTGCTGGTGTGTGGCTCCTGCTGGGAAGGGCACTCCTACCCCCACCCCACAGTGGGATGCTGAGACACAGGAAGGGGCTGGGGACTGATTGGCCAGACCCTAATGGCACAGGCAGCTGCTAAGGCTTGAAAATCAAGGTCTGATTTCCCCAAGGCTGTGCAGAGGGGTTGAGGCAGCTGCAAGAATTGGACCCAGGTCTTGGGCCCAGTCCTATCTGGTGGCAGTAGGCGGGCCTGCTTCCAGGTGGCATGGGCACTTAGGCCTCATGGGATCTCTGTCCTCACGTGCTCTTTGTCACAAAGAAGTGAGAATTGGGACCCAGCACAGCAGAAGGGGGGCATCTGGGAGCAGCTGTACTATCTGGTTTCTTCCTCAGTGCATGAAGATGGTGCAGGGGGGAAGAATTAGTGCCCCTGGGTGGCAGTTGAATTTGTTCCCCTTCTAGAGTGGTCTCAGCGGGACTTGGAGAGAGCCGAAAGTGTGAAGTTCTGCCGTCAGTACCTTGTCTTCCATGACAGCAAAACCATCGTGTACTCGGGCCCCTCGGGTGCCTGCACCGAGATAAAGGGCGAGTGAGTCTGCGCTGTCTGCTAGCGTTCCCCATCAGCAGCTGTCATGTCCCCAAGGCTTGGCTGGGAGCTACTGTCTCCCTTACTCAAGCCTGACTGGAACGATGGCGAAGGGCTGTCTTGCCTGGGCTCTGGGGGCTTTGAGCAGCTAGTGAGTAGTTCGGGTAGTATTGTTGCCTGCCCCTGCCCTGATCACTGTGCCAGGAGTGCCAGTAGCAGGGATGGACACTTGATGCATCTGGCCCCATGCCTGAAAGAGGGGCCCCTTCTAGGGTGGGGAGGGGTTGGATGGGGCTGTTTCCAGGGGGCCTCACAGCCCCATTGGGAGCCACCGTATCCTTGCCCAGCCCTGAAACCCCCAACCTGGTCCTGTTCACAGAACATCTCGAGAGTAGCTCCAGGAGTTGCTGCATAGGAAAGCCTGGTAGCAGAACTGCCCCTGGCCCTCGCACCTTTACTGCATTGCCTAGTATCTCCTGCTGTGCCACCTCAGGCAGAGGGCTAGTGCAGGCTCACTGATCACACCTCTGGGAGGGGTGTGCTCAGTACCAGAGCCCCTTGGTGCCTCCTTGCCCTTCTGGTAATGGGGCTGGTCTACCCTTTCAGGCTGCTGAGCAGAGAGTCACCCAGTGGGACACTGAAAGCCGTACTGCGAAAGGCCAGCAACAGCAAAGGCGAGGAGAAGCAGTTCTTGGAAGTGAGTCCATCCATCTGGCTGCTGGAGGAGACCAGGGGGCCTCAGTCATTTATGACTAGATACCATGTGTCTGCATTAACCTTGCTTGGCCCTTTCAGAAGAGCCAGACAGGACCTGGTGCTAGTAGCTCTTAGGAGAAAGGGCAGACTTTCATTTGACCTCCAAGCTGCTTGCTGCCCTTTTTCTAGATTCCTGGCAGACTCCCACCTGTGGCTCCATACCCTATGCCTGCTCCAAACCCCATACCTGATTGGCTTGGATCCCTTTCCCTGCATACCTGCCAGGCAGCTGGGTATGGATCTTTGCCCGACAGCATCAGCCAGGCACGGGCTTCTGCCATCCTTGGATCTCATGATTAGGACATGCCCCAGTACAGCTTAGTGAGGCCTGCCTTCTGATGAGAGGCAGGGCCCAGAGTGGTGAACGTTGAGCGTTGGATATCCACACTCATTTTCTTGCCAGGCACAGTGGGGCTGACCCAGAGGGGTCTGCAGGGCATCAGCTCCAGCTCTCTGCTGTACAGCTGACAAAGCTGTCTCTGGTTTCTGTTGTACCTGTTCCATCAGAATGGTCCCCACAGCTATCTGAATATCCCAGAGGTGATGGCTCCCACCCTGCTGAAATTCCACAGGTCAGGGCTTACCTGCATCCAGCAGGGTGGCATCAAGTCAGTTTTAAAAGGCATCTGCCCTGGACACACTGCAGCTGGGAAAGCCAATAATTGTTAGGCTGATGCATGGCTCCCCAAGGAGGGTGACTGGATGCCTTGGTTCCTGATGTCTCTGAGGGTTAGAATCACAGGGCTTCATCTCTTGACATCTCTGTAATCTCAGATCTGGGATCAGAATCGCAAAGTGAAGAGCATCAACTTGACAGGACTGGAGAAGCATGGCAGCATCTACGAAGATGGTGAGCAGGCTCACTGTGGGGCATCCCTGGGTTCCTGGGAGCCCCTTTTCGCTGAAGTGCAGGTGGGGGTGGAGTAGTATATTCACAGGGCCACTGGGCTGGTAGCAAAGGTATATGAGTAACAAAGGAGGGAAAGGTTGATCCTAGACCCTGGGGCTGGCTGAGTAGTAGAATGGCATACCTGGGGCTGACTGGTAAGGTGGGGGGTAGGCCCTTGAGGCATTATACTGGATGTGCTGGGCCATAGTGCCTGTCCATGTCTGACCTACGTTTTTGCAGATCAGTTTGGCTGCCTAGCCTGGTCGCACTCAGAGACCCATCTTCTGTATGTGGCGGAGAAAAAACGCCCAAAGACTGAGTCCTTCTTTCAGAGTAAGGCACCTGAACTAAGCAGCAGCACAGCTGAGGAAGAGGACGGAGTGTCGAGGCCTGAGAAACAAGACAAAGCCCTCAAGGTGCGCAGGGGTTGGGTAGATCTTGAGGAACTGGAGTGATGTGCGACAGTTTAGGGACACAGGTGTAGCAGGGCTGGGCCCAGGGGCAGCTGCATGCTTCTTTTCCCACTCCAGCCACTCAAGGTGCCCTCCCTTTCCTCTCACCTGTCATGCCTTGATGGAACTATTTCTTTTTGTAAAAAGGGAGGCTGCCCCAGGGTTGCAGAGCAAACCCTAGCTTATTCTTAGTCAGCAGGTCCATCCTGTACCCTGCTGACCTAAGTCAAGCCCCCCTGGCTCCATCAGTCTCTCCAGGTACCCACTGCCTTAAGGGCTATTCGTGACCTCCTTCAACCCCTACAGCCATTCCCATGCCTCATAGATGTTACTTCAAGTTGTCCACTGGATCCTCTGGTCCCTCTGTCACACTCCCATCAAACTGCCAGGCCCCTGGCCATGGTAATACCTTCTGTCTTCTCTTGACCCCTGGCCCTAATCCCTCCCCAGGCTTTCACCCTCTGCTTAAACCTGTTCTGGCCCCAGCCTTCTCTCTGGCCCCTGACCTTGTACAGCAGCTGTAGCCCTATATTAGTCCTCTGGGTCCCTGATCCCAGGCTGAGCTGCTTCCACTACACCAGTCTTTTTTTCTGGGCCCAAGGCTCTGGCCCTTTCAGCTTAAGCCTGCTGTGTCAGCCAGGCAGTTCGGGATCTCCTCTGTCTGGTGCCTGCAAGGCCAGACTGACCATGTGGCCTAAAGCACTGGTTTTGTGTTCCTCCAGAGCTCCACCCCTTCCTGTCAGGTGGTTCTCCAGCCATCCACAGGACTTTCCATTTTGGCTTGATGATGAGCCTGCCCTTCTCTGCCCTGGCTTAGCTCATTTGCTTGTTTCTCTTTGTTTCTGGACTGCCTAGATGTCTGCCCCCTGTGCAACTTGTGCACCTAGCTCCTGGAATAGTCAGTCCTTAGTGGTAGCCCCTATCTCTATGGTTACTAGTCTTCCTGCTTTCTAGCATCTAGCTGTCCAGTGGCTAGCCTGCTTCCTAGCTGCTGGCCCCCACACAGCCAGCTTAACCTGCCGAAGCATCCCTTAAAGTAACAGGCTTCCTTTTACAACAGGAAATCCAAGTTTATCTCCTACACTCACAAAGTGCTCTGTTGGTCTTGAGCACTGGGTTGACTTCTCAGGGTAGGGGAGTAATCATTCTTTTCTCTTCTGTACTGTGTTTACTTTGTTCAATGTGGGCTCTATGTTGCTTTAAGGGATGCTTCAGCCATACAGATGAGTCAGCTTTGCCAAAACCTCCTGGATGTGACTTGTTCCTAGAGCAGGACTACTGGGCCCTGCCAAGCCTGTACTGTTACTAGGATCCTATGTTCTGGAGGGCACAAGACTTAAAAGCTATGGCTCAGTGGGGCTGGGCCATGACATGGCCTGTGCTGGTACCAGGGTGGCGTGGGCATTTTGGGCAACTCATAACATTTTGTGTTCTAGGGGGAGCAGTTTGTGTACCATGAGGACTGGGGCGAGGCACTGAGCAACAAGAGTGTCCCTGCCCTATGTGTGCTGGACATTGAGAGCAGCAACGTTTCTGTGCTGGAAGGTGTCCCAGACCACATCTCCCCTGGACAGGTCAGCATGAGGATTGGGGAAGCAGCTGGATAGGGAGAGGCTGGTGAGCAGGGTCGTGTCACTGCAACCCAACACCTCCCCTGCTGAGTAGCTGTAGGGAGCATACAGATGCCAGCAGCTAGAAGCACCCAAAAAGCCCTCTCTTCTCCTTTCCCCTTCGCACCCTGCCTGGCACCCATGAGGAGCTGAAGCATAACAATAAGATAATCTGGATCCAAGACCCCCTCGTCATCAGAGTAGTGATGGATTCCAGGCTCAGTTCCTGTCTTGCATGTAGGGCAGGTGTCAGACTTTTCAGATCTGTGGATGTTTCTGTACTTCATTTTTATATAAGTAGTTGAAAGGGGGCTACAACTCGCACAAAGTCAGCAATGCAAGACTGTGGCAAAAAAGGCAATATCATGCATGAACAGGAGAGTTGTATATATAATGGTAATGTAAGGGGCTGTTGTTCCACTGTGCTTAGCACCAGTGAGGCCTCAACTGGAGTCCTGTGTCCCATTTGGAATACCGAGTTGCAGTGAAGATGGTGAGAAACAGGAGACTGTCTAACAAAGAAGGATAAGAATGCTACAGCATTTGAGAACATGTCCCAAGGGCAAAGGTGGAAGTGACTGGGTTTGTTTGATATAGGCAAGAGAAGGTTGATGGGGCTAGGGACATGAGAACAACCTTCCAATATATACAGGGTTGTTATAAAGGAAACAGTTCTGTGAGGGTGTTGGGCAGAAGGCAGGGCAGGGTGCCAATGTAAAGACCAACTGGTTCAGAGAGAAATGAGCTTTTCTGTAAGCAACTGTGTACTCCATCGGATACTAATAAGGATGCTTTGTCAGATGCTAGTATCTGATGAAGTAGGCTGTCACCTATGAAAGGTTCTGTCTCTGAACCAGTTAGTCTCTAAAGTGTCATCCTGCTGTCTCTTCTGTTTTCTTCTCCCAGTTTGTTTCCAGTGTCATCCTAGGTCCCAGCTGCTTCACTTATGCTGTCTAATGCTTTCCTGCTTTGTCCCACAGGCCTTCTGGTCCCCTGGTGACACTGGTGTGGTCTTCGCAGGCTGGTGGCATGAGCCCTTCCGTCTGGGGCTGCGGCACTGCACCAACCGCAGGTGAGAGCCCTGTGGCACCCCTCAACATAAACCTAGCCATGGCTTGCAGCAAACTACACACTAGGTACTGGGGAAAGGGACCTACCTGCGTGCTACATCTGCAGCAGGAGCCAGAGTGTTGCTGGCTGTAGAAGCATCTCCACCAGCATTCAGCTGAGCCCTCAAGTCCTACTAGGGTGTGCTATGGCTCTTGAGCTGGGTGGCTTTTCTCCGCTGCCCTTCAGGCTGGCAAACAGCAGTTCTCATGGGCAGATGGCTTGTCTAGTGCAAGGCTGGCACTAGTGAGGGGCCACTGGGCAGAGCCTGGAATCCGGGCCTGTGATTGTGGTGCCCATTAATTGTAGGGATGCAGCTAAAGCAAGGGTGAGGTTTGGGTGCCTGGCACAGCCCCCTTGCTGCTAAGGGAAGGTGCCCTCAGGCCCTTTCCATGATGACTTCTGTGATCCCATTTGCAGATCAGCACTGTTCTATGTGGACCTGAGAAGGGGGTGCTGCGGTGAGTGATGTTCTCCTTGTGCTGCTTTCCAAGCTTTGCCTTTTCCCTTGGCCCATCACAACCTGTCTGCCTGCCTCCTTTTCTTCTGTTGCAGAGCTGCTGTCTAATGACACCAAGGCTGTGTGGTCCCCACGCCTCAGCCCTGACCAGTGCCGCATCATCTATCTGGAGAACAATGCACTTGGGCCCCATCAGCAGTGCAGCCGCCTTTGTATGGTGAGTGGTGTGACACCAGCCAGGGGGTGCCTGCACCAGGGACCCAAGGCAGGGGAGTGGCAGTAATGCCTGCCAGAGCCGACCCTGGCCATCATCTTGACCCATGGGGCAGTTGTTCCTGGGCACCCCAGAAGTCTCTGCTAGCCCACCAGAATAGTGGTGTGGCTGGAGCCAGTGGCCAAGAATTCTGACCACGCTGTCAGTGTGAGTGGCCTGGGAGGCATCACTATAGCAGAGTAGACAGTATCCCATGGTGAGTGTGAGAGCTGAGGCAGCATATCTTAGCAGAGCCCCGCCTCCCTTCAGTGCTGCCTGGAAGTTAGCCATGCTTGGGCATCTCATCCACCTTCCCTGACAGCATGGCATGTGTGTCTGCCTAGGGCCAGCATTGGGTCAGCTATCTAGGGTACCAGCTGGGCCTCAGTTCCTGGGGAGGGGAGCTCTGTCAAAGCAGAAATGAGAGTAGAGCCCTGTAGGTACTGTCTGACTGCCTTGTGTTGCCATCTTTTGCAGTATGACTGGTACACAAAACAAACCTCCACTGTGCTAGAGATTGTGCCTCGGCAGAGCCAGGGTAAGTAGCTGACTGGAGGCAGGGAAGGGCTCAGGTAGCTAAAAAGTGGGGAAGATGGAGTACCCAGGAATTAGGCTCAGCACGTGCAAGGTGGCATGTAAGCAGTGTCTGCTTAGGCAGCAAGAGGAGGTGCTTTCTGTCAGGAATGAAGGGCAATGGCAAGGCTGTATGTGGGGAACCCAGGCTGGGGCAGCAAGACAAAGCTGTGCACATGGGGAAGGGGTCAGATTCAAGTTGAGTGGCATACCTTGCTTCCCAGGGCTTGCCATTGAGACTTAGTGGTCTGTGCTCTCTCTGGCAGAGATGGGGCTCTCTCTTTGCAGGTGTATTCCCAGGGATCTACTGCACAGCACTGCCTGAGATGTGTTGGGCAGCTGACAGCCGGCGGGTTGTGTTAGACACAGCACAGCGCAGCCAGCAGGTAAGAGGGCAGGGGCTGGCAAGGGCCAGAGCTCAGCTCCCGGATCAAGATGGTTAAAAATCAATGATTTTTAAAAAAAATAAAATAAAAATCAAAAGATCAGATTTTTAAGAAAATTTAAATCAGATTGTTTTATTTATTTGTATTTTTAAATTCTTTTTGTTAAGGTGCTTCTTTTTTAAAATCTACATCAAAGATCATTTTAATTTAAGATATGTTAGCACTCAAAGGTATCACCATGGAATAGGGATTGCAACTTCTAATTCTATACTATCTGAGACAAATATATTCATGTTAAATTTTTTAGAAAAGTTTTATAAATAGGTCACAACGGGCCATGGACTATATTAGGGTCCTAATCTTATGGGGTTCCCAGAGGCTCCTCTGTATAGATTAGTAAAGATTAAAGAAAACCACTCTACCCAATGGGACTCAGTGCTCAGTCTAGAAGATCTCATTAAGGATTTCTGTGATGCTTAGTTTCAGTTTTGTCTGTCCAGAGATAACATCCTTGTTAATTGCTGCATATGAAGATGATAGATAACAGACCTGCTTACCTACCCATCAGCCCCTATTGTCTCTCTGCAAGTTTGTGTACACAGAGTCAAGCCCTTGCCTCTCTCTAAAAGTGGAAAGTTTCAAGAAGTTAAATGATTGTTGGGGGTGGAGTAGATCTGGACAAGGAAGAGGAGTCTGGTGGGAAGTCTTGTGGGATGTTTCTGAATACAGCCTCACCATTGATTTGAGATCTAGTGAGGGAATGGTATAGTAGAAGGGAAAACCTATTATGGCATCAGGCTTGGAAGGCTGTACGAGAGACCCTGTTTGGGAATATGTTAATGAAGGTTATATCAAACAACAAGAATGCAGTTTTTGTAGAAAACAGTGATTAAATTGAGGCTTCCCGACCAGTGATTTTAAATCAACTCCACTTTGTCCCAGATGAACTGCTGTACCCATAGGGGTTTCCCCCTCCCCTCACTGGGGTACATTCACCTCCGGAGTGTCAGGCCATCCTGCCCATTGCAGGCCAGCAGTGGTCCAGGGGAGCCAGGTGTCTATTCTGTCCCCTGCAGGGGGCAATGCAGGGATATGAGCGGCCTGAAGAAGCTCTGCCCTTTGGTGTTCCCTCTAGGACCTGTTTGTTGTGGACACGCAGACCAGCAGTGTGCACTGCCTGACAGCTGGTAAGTACTGGCAGCCCTGCATCCACTTTGCAGGACCTTCTGTTCCCTGCCTCTGGAGATACTGGGGGTCCTGCATGTTCCTGCAGGACTGGGCAGCACCCACTGCCCCAGATCCCTCCTGTTCTGGCCAGTGACTTAAGTGCAGTCCCAGCACCAAGCAGGCCCCATAGGCTGTGACATCTTTTTCTCTTCCTGCCTGCAGATGCTCCCCCAGGGAGCTGGACACTCCTTACTATCAACCGGGATCTTCTAGTGGCCAAGTTCTCGACCCCAAGCTGCCCTCCAACTCTGGTAAGGGGCAATTCAGGATCGGGGAGAAGGGGCACTGGGCTGGAACCATTCTCCCCTGTGCACCAGCCCTGAGCCTGCTACAGTAGTGAGAGCTTTCCAGTTGCCTCCACCTCCAGACAGTGTCCCAAGGCACCACCCAAACTATACTCCTGTCAAGGAGATCAGGGCCAGATGTTGCAGGTCATCATTGAGAACATCACTGGAGCTCTGGGTGCCTGTGGCAGTCATCACTGTCAGTTTTAGCCTTCAGCTCATGTCAGATACTGTCTTTTCCTACCTACACCAAAGGAAGCTGTTGCCAAAGGTTGTGCCCACTTTGTCCTCTCTGTGGGGCTTTCCGGAGAGCATCTTGCCCTGGCCCTCAGCAAAGTAGCACCCCTGGTGATGGAAGAACAGCATGTGTGCTGGTGCCAGTGCTGCTGATGCTATTGATGTTCCCTTGTAGAAGGTGGGCTTCCTTCCTAGTGTTGGCCAAGAGGCCCAGGTGAGCTGGGTCTGTCTGGAAGATGCTGCCCCCTTGTCAGACATCAGCTGGGTCATCCAGTCCCTGCAGCCTCCTTCAGAGCAGGAAAACCCTCAGTATGGTGAGTACAAGGGCAGGAGGGGCTGAGCCATGAGCACAAGCTTAGCTGGGGACCTGGGAGAGAGCTCCTTGTCTGGGCTTGGCAAGCACTGTAGATCCCAGCCTTGTCGTTGTTAATGACTGCCAACCTTTCTTGTCTCTTTCTCCCTGACCCAACCCCTGTGCAGAGGGTCTTGATTTTGAAGCCATCCTTTTGCGGCCCAGCCAGATGGCCAGCCCAAACAAGCCACCTCTTGTGGTTGTACCCCATGGTAAGCCCCCTCCTCCCCACCACACTGGCAGCACTGCCACCTCTTCTTGCAGGCCCTGTAGGGCTCACCTCTGCTTCCCCTTTGTAGGAGGTCCTCATTCAGTCTTTGTAGCCAGCTGGATGCTGTACCCAGCAGTGCTCTGCAGGATGGGCTTTGCTGTGCTTCTGGGTGAGTCCCACTTACTGCCAAAGAATCATGTGGCAGTGGCATAGGGTTGAAGGCTGGCAACATGATGGGAGGTGGGCACAGATAGCTGCCCCAGATTGGGCCTGAATTGGGCTATCACAGACTACCTAACATGGACCAGTGGTGCTGGGGCCTACTTAATGGGTGCTGTGAACTCTCCCTCATCCTAGCTAAATTGCCCTGGGGAGGTTCTGCTGGGTTAGGGTTCACTCCAAGGGATGCCCTAGGGAAAGGCAGAGGCTCTCAAGTGCCACAGTGCCAGGAGTTCCTGCAACCCACTTCTAGCGAAGCACCAGACTCTTGAACAGAGACTGGAGGCGCAGCAGTTGGTGGGCAGCAGCTATGCTTTTGGTGTGCACAGTTGTAGGGAGGGGCTGACAGAATGGAGACAACCACTGGGGCAGCTCTCAAGGCACTTAATATGTGAGGTTTGCCCTGGCAGTGCTAGGTCAAGGCAGAGGGTAGGGAGGTCACAGGGACAGAACACTGCTGGAGCCTACCCATCCTGCAGCATAGGTACCACTCCTGCCCCACATAAAGGCTAGGCCACTATGCCACTTGAAGGGCAGAATCTCCGGCAGAGACAGTCCCCATCCCCCACATACCAGCCTGTCACCTGCTGTGGTGCTCAGTGGCAGGCAGACACTTTGGGGAGTGTCTTTGGGGATTGCCTGAGGTGGGGGCAAGGGACTTAGAGTGACATTGCTCTCTGTCCTAGTGAACTACCGTGGCTCGCTAGGCTTCGGCCAGGACAACATCGCTTCCCTGCCAGGCAATGTGGGCAGCCAGGACGTACAAGATGTACAGGTACAGGCCACAAGGCTGAGTACCACCATGCAGCTTGCACCCTTGAGAAGCTGGGGCCACAACTCTGAAATCCTCCCTGCGGGCCATCACTGTGATCCTTTGCCTGGGGGAAAGTTCTGTCTAGTTAATCCCTAGGGAACAGCAGGGGTAACCTCTGCCAGTCACCTGATAGGGATCTGGGCCATGTGCTCTTCAACCAAGTGAGCTATCTGTTCCCCTGCCCCAACCTTGCTGAGCCAGTTATACCCCTCCCTATTCCCTCTCCACCCCTGCCTCTCCTGACCTGACCCTGGACAACCCTGCTTGCCCCTCTTGCTCCTTGCCCAGCTGGGCTGCGGGCACTCCTGCTGCCCCTCCCAACTGTCTGTTCTCATCCCACTGCAGCACTGTGTGGAACGGGTATTACAGGAAGAGCCACTGGACTCAACCCGGGTAGCCCTGGTGGGTGGTTCACATGGGGGCTTCCTTGCTTGCCATCTCATTGGCCAGTACCCGGGCACCTACCAGGCTTGTATCGTTCGAAACCCAGTTGTCAATATGGCCTCCATGATCAGCTGCACTGACATCCCAGACTGGTGAGTGCCCCAGGCCTGAATCACAGCCCCTGACTGCACCCAGCCCCTGCCCCCCTATGCCCTCAGTGAAATTGGGCCTTGGCTTCTTCCACAGGTGCCTGACTGAAGCTGGCTTTTTCTTCACGCCCACCACCCTCCCAAATGCTGCCCACTGGACGGAGATGCTGCGCAAGTCTCCCATGCAGTATGTTGACAAGGTAAGACTGCATTACTCTTCCTCCTCTCCCAGATTTGGACCCCTAGTGCTGGCTGTGGGACCCAGGTTCTGATTCACTCCCCTTCCAGGTCCAGACCCCTGTGCTCCTGATGCTGGGAGAAGATGACAAGCGAGTCCCTCCAAAGCAGGGGCTGGAGTATTACCACGCCCTTAAAGCCAGGGGTATCCCCACCCGGTGAGCAGGTCACAGGGAGGGACCCAGGGATTGTTGGGAACAGCTTGGAGGCTTGTGGACAGAATGGACAGGGACAGAATTTGTACCTGGGTTTGCCAGGGGGCAGTTTGGATTGCACGGCAGGGACTGATGGACATGTGTTTGGACGGGGTGGCTGGGTTGGGACTAGAGCCAAGAGTGAAGGCAGGGGGCCATGTGTGGGGTGGGGTGGGCTGGTGTTTTGCTGGCATCCTGGAGGAAGCTGATCAGGTCTGAGACGAGATGAATGAAGGGTTTGCTTCACTTGGGAGCTGGACTGTTTGTCTAGCTACAGGGCAGGTGGGTAGAGATCCCTTGGAGATGGTTGGAGCAGACTGAAGGCCCTTATTAATTCCCATTTCTTCCTCCAGACTGCTGTGGTACCCAGGGAACAACCATGCGCTCTCTGGCGTGGAGGCCGAGGCTGATGGCTTCATGAACATGGCACTGTGGCTGATAAAGCACCTTAAGTGCTGACTGTAGGCACCTGTACCCTGCCCTGTAGGGGATGCTGCTGTGCACTGCACCCCCACCTAATGCTGTAACCCCCTGTTAATAAACAGTACAGCTGAGCTAGCCTCTGCCTCACTTTCATCCCTAGGGGGCAGCCTGCATGGCTTCTGTTACCAGATGTGAAGGGGCTAAGGACCCGAATGTCAGCTGACCTCTGCCACCCTGTGCCCTTGGCACCAGACCACTTGAGAACAGCAGGCAGGGCTGGGAGAGCCATGGGCTACAGATAGACAGGTGCCTCTTCCTTTTGGCAAGGCCTTTTAAAGCACCAGGACAAGAGAAAAAGGAGCCCTGCACCCTTGGGCAATTGCAGTGCTCTCTAAATACAGGAATGAGGGACTCTGCCGTGCAGGTCTACTGCCACTTTGTGGTCCAAGCCACAGTCCCTCCCTACCCATGTATCCAGCACTGTTCCTGCTCCCATTATTGCTTCCAGCAAAACTATGTCTGATAGAGTACCCTTTGCCCAGCCCACCTGTCAGTGAAGTTGGCAGTTATGCCCTGTGAAGCCCTTTTGCACCAGAGAGTGATTCTCTGCCCTGTGGCACAATTGGCCATCACAGGAGGTGGTACTTCACTAGTGTCCTATTTACTGAACACTCCCCTGCTTTTAAATAGGACACATGGTGCTGCCCCTGCTCCTGATTATTGATGTTTTCCATTCTCAGACTGTTCCAAGTTGCTTACAAATTTGTCATACTAACTGCTCCACCAGGAGACACATGAGAGCAGATGGAATGAGAAAGAGACTGAAGGGATGGCCAGAAGGATCTGTAACTGCAGGACCATGCTGCCTACACTCCAGTTTCTCAGCAAGAGAGAACAGCTTACTGGTCAAGTCCGTTTCAGTCCTCTCTAGCCACAGGCGCAAGTGAAGGCTCAGCCGCCTACTGCTGCCAGGCATCCCAGGAGCTCAGCTGGAGGGCCCCAGACTGTGCTTGCATGGATCCTCCTGGAGGGGACAGGGATGGGGGTTGCTTGTGTGCTCCAGCAGGGAGGACAGGCTTTTGTGAGAATGGCAAGAAACTGTTCGTGACAAGCACATCCTTGTACCCAAAGTTCAGGACAAAATGGATTTGAGACTGCCCTGAGGGAGATGAATTCCAGGGTAGTTCAGAAAGAGAAAAAAACCTGTAGGGAGGCAGCAGGTTTGGATCCCCAGAGTCTTATCTCCCTGCTGCCACGTCCCTGTTAAGAGTTACTCAAGACAGCTGTTGCCTTGTCTAGCCTGAGAGTTAACTTCCCCTGTTAACTCAAACACAGAGTGGCTTGTGCCCCTCTGAGGAATGCAGCAGTGGGCAAAGTACAAGCCCAGCTTGGTGCTTCCCCCAAGAGCGCTGTGCTGTGTATAGCAGGGAAGATGGGTTGTGGCAGTCCAGGAAGCCCCCGAGAAGTACCTGTGATCCACACACCAAAAGGTCTGTGGCCTGGGATCTGGCTAGGAGCAGCTGTGGCTGCAGAATAAATAGCTGATTTGCCCTGCTACCAAGTACCCCTGGCCCTGCTTTGGTCCAGCAGAACAGGTTTTATGTCTCTGCACTGTGCTCCATAATATGTTGGGGCAGGATACACTTGCTCTATAAACATACCTTGTTTAGTTTAATAAAGTAGTACTTAATCACTAGCCCCGTGGGGCCATGCCATCTGGCCTTTGGGGCTCTCTACTGGTTTAGAAATTTGGCAGCAGAGCAGTTGCAGCAATTAACAGTCACTGCTCCCCTGCTGCTAGATTTCCAAGCCCCATGAGGCAGCATTTGGCTCCAGCAGGGCCATTCCCACACAGCTGCAGTGGACCCCAGCCAGGCCATTTCTATGCAGGTGAATCGGGCCCTAGTTAAGCCAGTACTGCATACCACATTGGGCCTATGGACTGGATCCAACCTGGCACCACTCATCTGGCCTATGGGGTGAAAAGATTGGGTATGACTGGGGCAGCCTCCATTTTCATAATCTAATTGCATCTAAGGTGTACCAGGAGAGAGGAAAGGGAGGATATTCAAGGAGCTGGAGCAGGGCAGGAGCTGCATGGCCACCAGGGGGCTTGACAGCTGCCCCTGGGGCCCAATCCAGTCTCACTGCTGTGGGGGGCAAGACCTGCATGGGTGGGGGGAAAGCCTGGTGTTGTGTAGGTGGTGAATAGGACACACTGCACAGTGAGCTTTGGTAGGACAAACCAAGGATGGGAACTGGCTGAGCTGGCATGAGATAGCAATGCCTGCCCAGGTCCTTTGGCCCTGAACACACCTCCTTTTACCCAGTCACCCTTGGGTCTCTGCCTTCTCTCACTGCAACAGCACCGTACCCTGGGACCATCTCTAGCTGCAGCTGTGCAGCCTCTTGGCCTGGTGCCCAGCCTGCTCTGTTTATGCTCTTCACACAGGCTCTTGGCTGCCAGCTCAGGAAGAAGTCAGAGTCATTGGTGGGGCCTGGCTCTGCTTCCATGGCCTCCGAATCAGAGCAAATGCGGGAGGTGGAAAAAGGAGGGGAACTGCCAAGAAGGGGAGCCTGGTGAAAGAGACTTGGGGGTAGGGTTGCTGTGCAGACAGGAGCCTGGGAGTCTAGACACAGGGTGGGATTAGAGACATGGAGGGAAACAGGGACATGGGGGACAGGGGCTATTGTGGAGAGGTGCAGAGGCAGGTGGCAGCAGTTGCTGGGTGCAGGGAGTCCAGCATCTCTGGCCTTGCCTTTTAACCCAGCAATAGGCCCCATTGCTGCTTCCACCTATGGGACCTACCTTTCTCTACACCCAGTCCCACAACAGGCTGGATGCTGTTGCTGCCTGGTAGCAGGATCTCCCCTCTGTGGCCTGCACTGTCCTTGGAGCTGGATGTGTGGTCTGTGCTTCCCACTCTACACAGGTGTATTAGGGGAGGGTCATTCCCTGCACACCCTGCTCCCTGGGATGCATGTTAGCCCCACAACACCTATTCCACAAAGACGCAGCCAGCAACCCCAGGGCCTGAGGCAAAAGCCCTGGGACATAATGTGTCTGCCCAGGGCCAGGAGTTCACCTGTCATGACTGCCTAGGGTCTGGTGTAGGTGGGGCTTCCTGCTGGCTGAGGGAGCCAAGCAGCAGTCTCACTTACTCTCAAGGCCAGCACTACAGGGAGGTCACAGTGACTGGAGTATCACCCCCCACCCTATCTGCCCCCCAGGTGTGCCAAAGTCCTGCCCTTCTGCCCCCCAGGTGTGCCAAGGTCTGCTCATTCCTGCCCTTCTGTATTCGCCAAAGGGCTGGTGCTCCTTCGTGCAGCCTGGGGTTGGCACCATGAAGTCAGGGCAGGATCCTGTGTACCTGAGGGCTCAAAGCTAACCTGGCACCTGCCTAACTCCTCTCCCTATAGAGTGGTGCCACCCTGACCTGGAACACCAGAAACAGCTGTGGTTCAGCTGCCAGTGCAGTGTGCACCTCGCGGGCAGCCTATTGACTCTGTCACCGGCAACATCATCTCCACTGATATCTGGGACCAATACATGGCATGTGCAGTACCTTGTGGCACCCCATCCCCAGAGCGCCCCTGTTGCAATACTCCACCGCATCCTCCTGGTATCTCACAGCATCCACCTTCCTGCCCCACCACCCTGGCAGCATGGAGGAACTGCTACCACATAAAGAACACAGTCCTAAAAACAGGCACACTGCAGCCTCTCAACTCCACGATTCCTGAGCCACAAGGAGACAGCTAACACTCACACAGTCTCAGCAGAGACTGGGACTCTCACCCTTTGCAGAAACTGGAGGTGTGAGCATGGGTTGGTGGTTCGCATCAGAGGTCAAGGGATTGTAGACCATGTCCGGGCTCTTGTCTTTGGAACTCACTGCACTCAGCAGCCCACCCTCACCCTGCTCTGCGGTGGAGCTGCTATTCAGGCCCTGCCACTTACGCCTGCCCTTCTTTCCCACCCTGCAGGCTGCTGAGCTGGGATTCACCCACAGGGGCACATAGAACCATTCTCATCTGACACCAGGACTGGGGGAGAAGCAAGAGCTGCTGGAGGTAAATATCTGGGGCAGAGTGTTTCAGACATAGAAGTCCAAGTGCAACAAGGCAGATATCCCCCCTCCCCACTTCCCCAGCAAGGCTATACTGCTGGAGCATCAATCCAACAGAAACCCAGCTGGAGCAGGCACTTAGCCCAGCTCCATTTCTCTCTACATCAGATCAGTTTGGCTGTCTAGTCTGGTCCAGCTCAGAGACAGAGCTCCTGTATGTGGCTGAGAAGAGACAGCCCAGGATACAGTTTGTGTTCCCCCATGATGCTCCAAGGTACGAGAAGGTGGAGGTGCCACAAGGGGCAGGCAGACAAGGGAAGGTACAATCCCCAACCATTAAAGCGTATTCCCCACCACACCCCACCTCCCGGAGCGTGTCTATAAATGCTCCAAATTATTCTATCTGGCCCGTGGCTACGCTTTTGAAGGAGAATTGTGTCCGGCCCATGGCTGCCCAGGCTTTTGGCACCTCTCAGCCTTCTCCCTTCCCCATGCCAGTTGGCTGCAGCAACAGCAGCCATTCCCCTCCCTGGCCCTCCTGGTTCCACCCCCCAACCCCCAGTGCATGCTCCAAGGTAGGGGTTACTGGGCTGCTGGCCAGGCTTCTGCCCTGCAAGGCTGTCTGTGCACAGCTCCAACCCTGCAGCTGTTTGCAGATCAGACAGCCCATCCCCATGCGAGCCTAAGCTCAGGTAAGGTTCTTCATGCTGGAGGGAGCACAGGGGGGAAGCGGGCCAAGAGCCTTGGGTTATCTGGGCTCTGCCAGGCTAGGACCTGGTAGGGACATAGGTGTTGCTAATGCAGTGCTGTGCTGTGTTCCTGCGCACTGCTTCAGGCTGCACGATGTGGGCGCAGCTCCTGCCCTACCCTGATGTGGTTCCTGCCTGACTCTGAGTCCCTGGTACACTGCCGGGTTGGGCAGGAGTCATGCCAGCTGCACCCATGGGGCCCAAAGTGATGCGCAGGAGTTGACACACAGGAACACAGAGCAGCCCCAGCCCAACCCGGCCAAACACTGGGAGTCAGGGCGAGAGAAGGGTACCAGGGAGAAGTGGGGAACA